ATCAAAAGGCTCATTCTGTTTATCTCTTAAGTCATCAAGAAGCTGAGAAGAATTCCAAGAGGAAAGGTGGAAGGAGCAAGAAGAAAGATTTACACAACCAGAATGATTCTTCTAAGGCTTCTCAAATCCACAAGAAGGAACACAATCTTATTAAGTGTCACTTTTGCAATAAAATTGGACACTTGAAGAAAGATTGTCTGAAGCGTAAAGCTTGGTTCGAAAAGAAAGGTAAGCCTTGTGCTTTAGTATGTTTTGAATCAAACTTTTCTGAAGTTCCTCATAATACTTGGTGGATTGATTCTGGTGCCACCACTCATGTTTCAAATACGATGCAGGGATTTCTTTCGATCCAAACCATAAAGCCAAATGAGAATTATGTGCTCACGGGGAATAGAAACAAAGCTCCAGTTGAAGGCATTGGCACTTATCATTTGATCTTAGATACTGGGCATTATTTGGATTTGTTTCGAACCCTTTATGTTCCTACATTTCCAGCAATTTAGTTTCTTTGCCAAAACTTGATGTAGCGGGATTCTCTTTTAAGTTTGGTTGTGGATCTTTCAGTTTGTATAAGAATAATAATCTTATTGGAACTGGAAGTTTATGTGATGGTCTCTACAAGTTTAAACTTGATAATGCTTTTGCTGAGACCTTAATGACCTTGCATCATAATGTTGGCACTAAACGCAGTTTAGTGGATGAGAATTCTGCTTACTTGTGGCATAAACGTTTGGGTCATAAATCCAAAGAAAGAATGCAAAGATTAGTGAAGAATGAAATTCTTCCAAATTTGGATTTTACTGATCTTGGAGTGTGTATTGATTGTATTAAGGGTAAACAAACAAAACACACTAAGAAAGGTGCCACAAGAAGCACAAAGCTTCTTGAAATTATACACACCGATATATGTGGTCTTTTTGATATTCCATCTTTTGGTAAAGAAAGTTATTTTATCACCTTTATTGATGATTTTTCACGCTATGGTTATATTTATCTATTGCATGATAAATCTCAATCAGTGAATGCACTTGAGGTGTATATTAAAGAGGTTGAAAGGCAATTAGATAAAAAGTTGAAAATAGTAAGGTCGGATAGAGGTGGTGAATATTATGGAAAGTATGATGAATCGGGATAATGTCCGGGTCCATTTGGTAAATTCCTTGAAAGACATGGTATTTGTGCTCAATACACAATGCCAGGTACACCACAACAAAATGGTGTAGCAGAAAAGCGTAATCGTACTTTAATGGAAATGGTTAGGAGTATGATGAGTTATTCATCTCTATCCTTATCATTGTGGATGTATGCTTTAAAGACTTCTATGTATTTATTAAACAGGGTTCCTAGTAAGGCAGTTCCAAAGACGCCCTTTGAACTGTGGACGGGAAGGAAACCTAGTTTACGACACCTGCATGTTTGGGGTTGTCAAGCAGAAGTAAGAATTTACAATCTGCATGAAAAGAAATTGGATTTAAGAACAACAAGTGGTTACTTCATTAGTTATGCAGAGAAATCCAAAGGGTATAGATTTTACTGTCCTAATCATAGTACAAGAATTGTTGAATCTGGAAATGCTAGGTTCATTGAAAATGCTGACATTAGTGGGAGTGAAAGAATGCGTGATGTTTGCATTCAAGAAGTTAGGGTGGAAGTTCCTCTACCCAAAACTTCTAAAGTTGTTGTTCCTAATATTATAGTTCAACCCAACAATAATCAAGAACAACAAATTAATGATCAAACACTCCATAATGAAAATGTCAATATTGAACCTACAGTAGTTGAGCCACAAGAAATAGCATTAAGAAGATCTCAAAGAGAAAGGAGGTCGGCTATTTCAAATGACTACGTGGTTTATCTACAAGAGTCAGAAATTGACTTAGGAATTGGTAATGATCCAGGTTAATTTTCACAAGCCACAGAATGTGATGATTCTACTAAATGGTTCAATGCCATGGAAGAAGAGTTAAAATCTATGGATCAAAATCAAGTTTGGAATCTCGTTGAATTGCTTGAAGGATGCAAAAAGGTCGCGTGTAAATAGGTCTTTAAGACCAAGCGCGACTCAAAAGGTAATATCGAACGATATAAGGCCAGACTTGTTGCTAAAGGTTTTACTCAAAAAGAAGGCATTGACTATAAGGAGACATTTTTACCAGTCTCCAAAAAAGACTCACTTAGAATTATTATGATTTTGGTGGCTCATTACGATTTAGAGTTACACCAAATGGATGTTAAAACTGCCTTTTTTAATAGGAATTTAGAGGAAGAAGTTTATATGGATCAACCCGAGGGCTTTTCAGTTAAAGGAAAGGAACACATGGTGTGTAAGTTAAAGAAATCAATATATGGACTTAAACAAGCTTCCCGACAATGGTATCTTAAGTTTAATGATACCATAACTTCTTTTGGATTTAAGGAAAACACTGTTGATCGGTGTATATACATGAAGGTCAGTGGGAGTAAGTTTATTTTTCTAGTTCTGTATGTTGATGACCTTTTGCTTGCTACTAATGATCTTAGTTTGTTACATGAAACCAAGGAATTTCTTTCTAAAAATTTTGAAATGAAAGATATGGGAGAGGCAACATATGTGATAGGAATAGAAATATTCCGTGATAGATCACAAGGATTGTTAGGATTGTCTCAAAAAGCCTATATTGATAAAATTTTAGAGAGATTTAATATGAATAAATGTTCAGTAGGAGCAGTTCCAATTCAGAAAGGTGACAAATTTAGTCTTATGCAATGTCTGAAAAGTGAATTGGAACAAGAACAAATGATAAGTATTCCTTATGCATCTGTTGTCGGAAGCTTAATGTATGCTCAAACTTGCACCAGACCAGACATTAGTTTTGCAGTCGGAATACTGGGCAGGTTTCAAAGTAACCCAGGATTAGATCATTGGAAAGCTGCAAAGAAAGTTCTCAGATACTTGCAAGGAACGAAGAATCACATGCTCACTTATAAAAGATCTGATCATCTTGAGGTGATTGGATATTCAGATTCAGACTTAGCCGGATGTACCGATACAAGAAAATCAACTTTTGGTTACTTGTATCTTTTGGCTGGAGGCACAATTTCATGGAAAAGTGCAAAGCAGTCAGTTATTGCTACATCTACTATGGAGGCTGAGTTTGTGGCATGCTTTGAGGCCACTATTCATGGGATATGGCTGCGGAACTTTATTTCAGGGCTTGTGATTGTCGACAGTATTGCCAGGCCGCTGAAAATTTATTGTGATAACTCTGCAGCAGTTTTCTTTTCTAAGAACGACAAGTACTCCAAGGGTGCTAAACATATGGAGATTAAATACTTGTCCGTTAAAGAAGAAGTTCAGAAACAAAGAGTGTCAATTGAGCACATTAGCACCAACCTTATGATTGCAGATCCCTTAACAAAAGGACTGCCGCCCAAAATATTTAAAGAACATGTTGAAAGGATGGGTATTATTGGATGTCATTAATGATTGTATTATGAGTGCATTAAGTTTATTTATTTGACACTATGAGCTCAATTATGTGTTTCTGATATTTCCTGTTTTCTATTTGGTATACATGATGGAAATAGATGAATATGTAACAGGACAGTCTTTAATAGAGACATTATAGTTGGACCATTACTATATTTCTCATTTATGGATCATGTTAAGTAGGGCGCTATAGTTGTAGTACATGGAAGGGACTATGTCGATTAATGGCATACAACCGCTATGACTCGCATTAGTTTCTTTATTTAACTGTGATCATTATGTGATAGGCAATTTAAGAAAGGTTTTAGCATAATGTTATTGTGCACATTATGGTCTTTATTAAACCATGAAAGGAAGGTCATATGGGCCAAGTGGGAGAATGTAAGAATAATGTGGCCCACATGATGTTATGAATTAATGGTTTAATAAATATTTAAGTGCTAAAACGTATTGTCTATGAAAAATAGATGAAAAGGTATAATTCTATTGAGAAGTTAAAGTTCCTCCGAAGAGGTGCGACTCTTATGAAGTGGGATATGCTTTGATGGAAGGCACCACTTGAATGGGTATATATAAAAGAATCCGGTCCTCTCTCCACCCACGATAACGCACGAAAAAGAACGTTGTATTTTATCCTCCATCGATAAGATACGTTAAGAAAAAAGTGGGTAAGTGAGAGAAATCAGATTTCTTCGTTTCTTCCGTTTTCTGCAACAATTATCTTCAAGGGAAATGCTATGGATAAAGGTATGTCTTCATCCTTCTTATTATGAAAAATCATGAAGATCTAAGATCCTAGATGTCACAAATTTTCCGCATAAAAGTATTACGTTATAAATAACATGCATGACTAGAGTACCTTGCTATTCTGCAACATTGAGAGAGCCATCGAAGCAAATCCCACTTTTGTTACTACGTAGCCGAACCTACTTATATGTAATAGTATATATGCATCAGCATCGGTCTAACGACGCAGAAGATGGAATCAAATGACCCTCCGTCGTTGATGAGTCCAATTGGATATAAAAAGGACAACAAAGCTCATGGGCGAAGAAAAGCTTCAATAATCGTCCTTTTACGTTAAGCTAAGCGTAAGTTTACTTGTGCACATGCCCATCCTCAAAACACATGACGGTTCATCAAATTGCAACCCCATTAGTTTTTGGGTGGAGGAGAATTGCTATGCATTTGGTGGCTTTCGCTCTTCATGCCGGACAAATTGACAAGGAAGGCAAGTTTACTATCTATCGAGAGTTTGGCAGTTCATAGTCGAGCAACGACGCTTCTTTTGGCCGATCACGTCTGGTAGGAAGGAGAGATTTTCGGTATATAAATTCCGAATGATCGAAATCTGTAGTTGACAATACCATCTGCATCGTAGCACGTCTGCCCAACTTTAAACATTCACATAACTTGTACAGCCTTTCTGTGGAAGATGGGCATATTAGTCGAAAACGAGGGAAATTGTTTTGAACAGATCTCGAATTAGCTGAACTGTTAAACACAATGAAAATTTAAAATGCAAGAACAATGCAAAAATACTATGATTAATTTGATTGGAAAGGGGGACGGATCTAACATATGAGCGAAAATCACGAATTCACCAGTCAGCATCTACGGATTCAACCTCTGAATAGTCGTCCACACAAAGATAAGCTAAACTAAAAAAGTAGAAAAGAAGATTCGAAAGTCTAAACCTAAACTTCAGCTTTCACAAATGCACTAGAAGTCTCGGACGATCCAGACTGGAGCCAGTTCTTAGCACAAACGAGAGCTTCGAGTGTAACCGGACGCAATGAACTGCGATAACTGTCAATCTTCATGCTTTGGGTGTCAAAGACAGAATCAGGATCCACTGTCGAGATTGGTATGGACAAAACATCAGCAGCCATCTTGGAAAGAATAGGGTACTTCAGGTTATTTAATTTCCACCAACCCAATAGATCGAAGTCTTGTACCCTCGGCAGAAGAGACTCCTCCAAATATTGATCTAACTCGGACTTTGTTTGCTGGCCACTACTGATCTCTGAAATGTAGACATCAAAATCTGAGAGCCCGTCCCCAAAGGAGATGACCGTACCATCATGTTGCAGCTCTTCATGAGACACTCCTTCCTGAGGCATTCCTTCATCCGGCAGCTCTGTTTTTATGATGCTCTCAGTGCCGTTCTCCATTGGAGCTTCCGGAAGAGGAAGTACAGGTGCAAAATAATCAAGAAAGAGGTCGTGAATACCATCATCAACAATTCTAATCCACGTTTCAGCATCCTCACCAAAAATTCTAGAGAAACTAAATTCTACAAGTTTCATCTTGAATCTTGGATCCATGACTACTGCAACCGCCAAAATAAGGCAGCATCCCCTCCAATATTTGTCGAACTTTTCTTGTAAAGGCTTGATTAGGTTGCTTACAAATGGGTCCTGGCTGGTTGCAGCATGTGCGAGATCCAAATGAAGTTTAGACACTTCATGGAAGAACGTGCTGGCAGTTGGGTATGTTGGGCCAGTCAATATATTTGCGGCATCAAACAAAATCTTCAAATAAGAGCAGAGAGTCTCCACTTGCTTCCAATCATCCATGGAAGGGGTTAATTTATAATCAGGATCGGATGCATCGAAGCAGGCAAATACTTCCTTGAGCTCACAAGCAGCTACAAGCATATGATAAGTTGTATCCCACCTTGTTTGGTCATCAATCAGCAGGTCCTTGGTACTAGGTACTTGAAGTTGTTGCTTAAGCTCATCAAACTTCTCTTCGTGAGCTTCTGAAGTCCTCACATACTTCACACTATCACGGATTTTCTTAATGGTATCTGCCATTGACCCAAGAGCATCTTGTGCAAGACCACTTAACAGATGAGCATAGCAACTCCCAATCAGTATCTGGCTATTGAGCAAATGTGGATTCTTTACTGAGGTCAAACCTCTCAGATTCGCAATAACAGCTTCGCTGGAGACGGACTGATCGACAGTGAGGGTGAACAACCTACCTTCCAAATTCCAATCAGATAGGCAAGCCACAACAGCCTGATTAAAAGCATGATCTGAATCGGGATAAGGCACCATTACAACATTAAGAATGTGGCGATGTACCTTCCAATCACTATCAATGAAGTGTCCAGTCAAGAAAACATAACCTAGGTTCTGGTTTGAAGTCCGAAGATCCAGCGTCAGATTGACTCTTCCTGGTATTGTACTGATGAGGTTCAAAAGTCTTTGCTTTTCCCTCAGGTATATAGCAACACAATCACCTTGAACAGTATTGAAGCTAACCATATTGTAATGCGGATTGAGAGTCCGTACAAAGTCAATGAAACCTGGATGTTCGACAATGTGTAGAGGATACTCATGCATGATAATCATCTTGGCAATCTCAAGACTGCATCGCTCTTGGTCAAGAGGTACATTTGCTATTGCAGGAGCAGTCCTGTACCGCCGTTTTGGTGGATCAGTTGCACTTCCATAAGCACTAGCAGACTTGGAACCCGGTGTAGTATATGGAAGAAGAAGTTGATTCCTCTGGCGGCTGACGGGACAGATACCCAGGGCAATGTGCCGTTTTAGGTGACTCGTGCCTGCCAGCTTGGAGCCAGTTATATAGGCAAACGACTTCTTGCACTGCTTACAGCAAGCCCTCGTATGTCCAGGACCCACAGTTTCTACGGTGAAGTGTTCCCAAACAATAGATTTCTTTCTTCTGCGCTTATTAGGCTGTGTCTCTGAACCAGCTTGCTCATTATCGAGAGGGGTAGCGGGAGTAGCAGGGACAATGGCCATATCTGAATCAGGGATGAAATCCATATCTGTCTCAGGGATAACAGCATCATCTGATTCAGGAATAATAGCATGATCTGTTTCAGGGATAATAGCATGCTCTGTTTCAGGGATAGTAGCATGATCTGTTTCAGGGATAGTAGCATGATCTGTTTCAGGGATAATAGCATGCTCTGTTTCAGGGATAATGGTAGCATCTGTTTCAGGGAGAATAGCAGCATCTGTTTCAGGGAGAATAGCAGCATCTGTTTCTGGGAGAATAGCAGCCTCTGTTTCCAGGACATGGGTGGTATCTGTTTGAGGAATAATAGTGGTATCTACTTCTGAAACGATAGTGGTATCGGTTTCCATGGAAGAAGGTGCATCCCTGCAACCATATGGAGGCATACCTCTAAAACTTTATGCATGAAGTAGGACAAATAATAAGTATCAAAAGCTGGAAGATCACATACATGATGTTTTTTGAGCACAAAAAAGCAAGAACACTCAAATAGCGGGTAAGAGTACATGAAAAGGAACCAACACCAGATTGATGGAAATGGCAAACAGAGACAATCCATGACACATGACATATATGCATCACAAGAAGCAAAAATAACTGCCCAACAATGATGCGTTAATCTCCTCTAAATTTCTATATCCCTGTTCTGTCACAGTTTCAAATATGAAAATACAGCAGGAAGAATTAAAAACCTACATCCATGTGGCAAACACTTCTGATCTGTCAGTCAAGTTGACAGCATGAATGGGTGCCATCGCTTTTGTAATCAGTAGTCAGCCAAAGAGAAAAACCATAACAGTGAGTTTGCGGACAATTCACCTCTCTCTAAAAACAAAAACAGAAACAAAAAAAATACCCACGCATATGATGTCCCATATGTAAGTACCTAAACTAAACCCTCATTAAATCCGATATGTTGCACATCTGAACTAATGTAGCTTAAATTAAACTACAAATGACTCAAAGTACTAAGGCTCCTGGACAATTTTCCCTTTTCTATGAAATAAATAAAATTTCCACCCTATTTTCAAACTGGATAATTAGAACTTAAGCTTCAAAGAATTACAAACAACTCGAAAACCTTCTCAAGTCATGCAACTTGAATGATATAAACTCTAAGCTGAAACTGAGAGGCAAATTCACACAAACCAAATCACCAAGTGTAATTTGTAAAAGTTCTCCGTTTTCATTTTCCCATGCTTTGCAGGATCTGGGCATGCCATCCATAATGCTCTAGTAGTGATCCTTGGTGCACCAATTGCACATCACACTTACAATCTAGTCAAGGGTTTCCAGAGAAGATGCGCCCATTGTGCCAGGTGTAATATTAGCAAAGGAGCGCCCAGTCATACATGTTGTGTCACCTCCACAGTGCAATTATCTAATGGTTTGATGCTACCTGTAACTGCTGTAGCTGACGCAGTACAGACCGAATCCAAAAGAGCCACGTAATGACATTGCCAAGTGGACATAGAACTTACAAATAGCTAATCATTCTGGTATTCACTCCATTAAATACTTGGATCTCACATGAAACATCTTGAATTTCACTTCTTGGATAAAGCAAAAACTCAACAAATGGCCTAACCAGTCTTTAGCCCATAGCGACTGAAATTCCTAACATGGTCGAAACTTCAGGTGCCTGAAATCCGAGGGTGGTAAGCATATAGCTTTTTTATAGCGAATACAGCCTCAAGGTGTTCCATCGACGGCCATCTTGGCTATGACACGAATTCTCCTTATTCCAAATGCGCACCACCATGCCTTTAGAGCTGTGCCGAGGCCAAGGTTTCGACTGAGTATGTACGAAATAAAAATCCTAATCCTAAGCCTTCTACAACAAAATCATAACACAAAAAGCTATATAAAAAAAAGGACAACATAGCCGCACAGAAAGTTTCTTGGAAATCATAACAGATTCACACTAGCTGTCATAATTTGTTCTTAGCTACAGCCTCGAATCAAGTACATAATACACCGAAAACCCTCCGAAAATTCAGTACCCACCTAGTCAAAATCGGTGCAACCCGCAAGCATTCGCAGTCGAAATTTAAGAACTGCCAACAAGACAGCTCAACCCACACCACTGTAGTTCCCCCCCCCTCAAAGGAAAAACACTCTCCTCCACACCCATCAACCCATCAACCAGCAACCCCCGCAGGCAGAAACCATCAAACGAAAAACAGCCGACGCAATTCAACCTCACCAAAAACAAGCGCGCGCAAAACAGAACAGAACGGAACCCAGGAGAGGGAATACGAAAACCCCACTCACATTCTTTCGCGGGGCCCGGGTGGAGATCCTCAGCTCTCCGGGACGAGCTCGCGGCAAATTCAAACGGGGTCCCCGATTAAAAAAAAAGGGGCAAGGAAAAGGAATTTTTTTTTGAAATTTCGGAGCAGCAGCAGCAGAAGCAGAAGCAGCAGAGGGAAGGAGGAGGAGGAGGAGGGACAGAGGAGGACGCGCTATGGGCTTTGAGCTCGCTCCCGCAAAGCTTCGAGCTTTGAGCTCGAGAGGGGAGGGAGAGAAAACCCTAATGGACCTTTTTTAGGGCTGAGGGGCTGACAAAGAGAACTTCGGTAAGAGAAATTGCTCCCCGAGGCCTTTCTCCACACTTAATGGTGCGACCTTTGGGGGGGCGAGGAGGAGAGAGACAGAGAGAGAGAATGTTTTCTTTTTTCTTTTTTTTTAAAAGAGGGGAAAATATTTCGAAAGCGTTTTAAAAACCGAATTGGATTTGGACTTTGAGGTCCACCGAGCCCCACCTTGACGATGTTGATCTGATCTCGGCCGTTGGATTTGACCGGGATGGGTCGGATCCCCCTTGGATTTTTATTTCCTCTTGTGGGAGTTCTCTTTTGACTTGCCCCCCCTTCTTCTTTGTTTTGCCTTTGTTTGAGCAGTTTAGGTGGGGGCCGATCCGGTACATCGCATTGTATGTTTGCTACCGGTGAGATTTGATGCCATGTAATGCCGATGAACAATTGAAAAGGGACAAGTGCGTTAAAAATCCTAAAATTTATAGTGAAAGCGTAATTGAGTCCTAAAACTTATCACGAAATGTAATTAAGTTGTAAAACTTTTAAAAAGTGCAATCGAGTCCTAAAACTTGTCAAATTGATCCAATCGAGTCATTCCGTTAATTGCACTTCTTGAAAGTTGTAGGATTCAATTGTACTTTCGTGACAAGTTTTAGGACCTGCAATGCACTTATCCAAAAAATTCATATATTATTATGTCTAAACATCCTTTCGTCTCACTTTGTATCTGTCAAAATTACTTTCAAATCAAAAGTTAAAACTATTCGTTACTTTTTCTCTTCACTGAGTAACCATCAAGTTCATGCTTAGGATAGAAGTACCCGCTGCACATCCGCTCGATTTCATCTAAAAAAGCAGTTCGTGTCTTTTTATACGCTATCCCTTTGCGATAGCGCACAAGTGCCTCGACACTAGTTAGTTGAGAAATTAAGCGAGATAAGGGATTTCACATTACATAATAATTAATTCTTGATCGACAATCTAGAGGCCCATGGATTGCCTGGTATGTCCCATGAACCGGTCAAGTTCAGGATTTTGGTTCGTGCTGGTAGCCTTGATCAATATTGACAAGAAAGTCTTTTTTCCTCCCCGATAGTGATAAATCGGTCCATTTTGATGTCGACCGCAAATGTTGACAAGTGTATCAATTTATCTTATTGAGTTGGTTTCTGCATTTGCAAGAGGTTGTAGGGCTTCAAAATCCCTTAGGCAAAATGCAAATGGCGTTTGACAAATTTTTTGAAGAACTTATGGGAAATGCAAGCATTTCCAAAGGCTTCTAGCCCAATGGAGGTCTAGAGGTCCTTTTGAAAGTAGCATTTCATAATGCTAGTCTTGGCACTATTCATCTTCCCTGCGGTTTGCACAAAGGAGATGGACGGAGGCCAGCAACCGCCGCCTGGGGCTCAAGCAACCTCAGGTGAGGTTGGCCGGCGACTTTGTTATGCTATTTGTGAGTTTTTAAAAATAAATTAGCAAAAGGCCCTTTTATAAAATGTAGTTTTCACCGAATAACATTTAAGTTAAAGTTGCTTCCCAACGTGTTTTTAAATACGCTTTACTAAACACTACTTGAATTTCAAAAAATCCCTTTAGCCCAAAGACTTTGGCATTTTCCTAAAGATGTTCCCCAAAATTGAACCAAACGCACACTTAGGTCCTGTTTTGTTCAACTTTGGGAAGGGGCTTTTGGCCTCGAAAGCCCCTTCCCAAAATGCTAAACCGTTTGGTTCGGCTTTCCTAGTTCGAAAAGCCGAAAGCTAGCTTTTGGAATGCTGAAAGCCTTTTTTTCTCTTCCCAAATTGCCCTCACTCAAATTTCAATATTCTGGTTTTGCCCTTGTTACTGTTCATCTTCTTCACCGCGAGGGTGGCCGACGATGGGCCGGCGAGGGCAGATCTGGCTGGCGAAGGGCCAGCGAGGGTGGATCTGGCCGGCGAAGGGCCGGCGAGGGGCCGGCGAGGTCGCTCGACCCAGGCGAAGGCCACCTGGGGTGGGGCGACCGCCCAGGCGCCGTCGCTTGGGTCATGACCCGGGCGACGGCCGCCTGGGGTCACGCGACCCAGGCGACGGCACCTGGGCAGTTGATGCTGTCGCCTGGGTCGCGTGACCCCAGGCGGCCGTCGCCTGGGTCGCAACCCAGGCCGACATCGCCTGAGGTTGCGCGACCTAGGCGACGGTGCCTGGGCGGTTGCCCGACCCCAGGTGGCCTTCGCCTGGGTCGGGCGACCTCGCCGGCCAAATCCACCCTCGCCGGCCAGATCCGCCCTTGCCGGTCACATTTTGGTGAAGAAGATGAACAGTAACAAGGGCAAAACAGGAATATTAAAAATAAAAATTGCCAAAGCCCTTTGAAAAAAAAAATTTGCCAAACACTACTTAGGCCAAAGTAGCTTCACAAAATTTTTTTTTACCAAACGCCACTTGCATTTCCCCAAGTGGCTTTTACCTAAAGGTATTTGCATTCCCCCAAGTAGCATTTGAAAAGCCAAACCAAACGGGCCCTTAGTATCTTGATGCATTACCCAAATGGTGACTTTTCGAGCACATGAGATAATAGTTCTTAGTTTGGGGGATCGAATTACTTTGGATTTTAATTATAAATGTTTGTTATTCGGACTTATACGGTATACGCAACAAGGGAAAAGTGAATTTTATTCCCCAAAAAACGACGCTAAAATCATCACGCGTGTGCATTGTCATGGCAGGTGAATAACAAAGCGTACGCGTGCTATGGTCTCGAGGCTGCTTGTGTAAAGAAAACTTCTCTTGGTTCCTCGCGAAAATCAGTACAAATCTACTTTCTGATGATTAAAAATGAACCCACTTCCAACTATAAAAAAAAAAAAGGCACGAAGGAAAGAAGAACCTGGGAAACAAAATGAGCAATAGGTTCTTTACAACTTCAGCTTATGGATAGAGGAAAATCATGATCAAATCCTATGTTTTGATCCTTAAAACTTACGAAAATAGATGAGGAAAAAATTGTAAAATCTGCCTAAACGAGAGACGTGTTTAGGTGCATAATGTGCTGTGACTGTGTGTGAGGTCGCGACTTATGGAATTTACTATTGCATAGTAAAATTTACGATGGGTTTAAAGTTACTTTTTTTTTTTTTGAAAAGTTACCAACATACATGTGAAAAAATTGGTTATTGATAGGTTAAAACATAATTTTTCAATGTGAAAATAGCTACTGACCATGTAGGGGAAACCCACTTGATACATTTACTTGGTTTCTTGATAATTTTTTAGGAGATAAGTGTACTAAAAGTTTAAAATATGTAGGAAGGTGCAATTAAATCTAATTTTTTTCAAAAAAATTCGATCAAGTCATAAATTTTGTCAATAACGTATTAAAGTACTATTGTGTTGAGTACATTTATTAATTCTATATATTTCGAGTGGCGAAAATATCCAACATGAATTTTGATTTTTTGGAATACATATGGTGCTACCATAACGCTATGGGAACCGCAACATAAAAAAAGAAGACTAACAATGACAACGAGTGCGCTTCCCTCGTTGATGAGGGCTTGTGATCCCTTTGCTTGCCCTAACGCAATGATAGCGCCATCGCTCGCCACCACAACGCCACAATCCACCGATTCTTACGTGGCGGTCGTGAGGGTTGACCGACCCTTTGCCTTATCTATCCTTTTTTTATCGATGTTATGCTTTCCCTGCAGATGTTGCCGTCACTTGTTATTAAGGGTGATCGGTTCCCGATCCGATTTTGATCCAATAAAATTGGTCACTAGTTCCTCGAAAACAGTTCTTGAAGACCACATCCTCATCCATTACGTCAAAGTTTGCGGTCAAGGGAGATGGGGCGGTAAGGCAACAGGTGAGTCAAGGCCTTTAGGATTTTACTAATGTTCTCTTTGCAAACTGCCACATGGAAAGAAAAGAAATAAATGTTCAAAAACCGTACTGTAAATAATAGGAGTGCACGTCTGAACTACATCATACAGGT